ATTATTATTATTAGTATTATTATCTAACTCTTACATCTATTCCAGGAGTTCCACTGAATCCTTGAACCCCCATCTCCCCCCTGGCCCCCTTCTCCCCCCAGGACCCATACCGTCCCTGGTCACCCTTCTCTCCCTTTGGTCCAGGAGGTCCATCAGGACCAATATCTCCAGGTGGTCCCTCAGGTCCGCGAATACCTGGAGTCCCGGGCCAACCTGGAGTCCAACATTAATTATTCATTAAATTGAATAACAACTTAAATGACAAAAAAAATACAAATTAGGTTTTTAAGAGACTGTTTGCGTAATTTGAAGATTTACCTGCTCGAGTAACGAATTCACTTTTAAATGAGCAACAATAAGGAATTCATTCTCGTTTTTCTGGAAAACTTTTAAATCTCTGACAACTGCTGTCACTTAAAATTGCTTTGACAGTCCCTTTAAAACTCTGACAACTGCTGTCACTTAAAATTGCTTTGACAGTCCCTTTAAGCCGAAGACGAAAAATTATAAATTGATGACTTAATAAAACACGAGAAAATGAGAATTATTGGATCCCTAATAGTCCTTTATCCCCGGGACACACACACCATTCTTCACGGGGCTTACAACCCTTGCAGGCCTAAACAAAACCTGATAAAAGCAAACTTTGACTTTAAATGTATTGCAATATCTGGGCTGTATTGTATAAAAACAAAATCATCAATATCATGAATATAAAATGAGTTTGTTTAAAGGAATTGATTCTTTGTAACAAACCTATATCTTTTCAACCCAGTGCAGTAGACCTTTGATATTTCAATCTATGAAACATATTAGATTAAATAATCCAAGCTTGAAATATCAAAGGTTTACACCAACCGGTTGCAGAGATATAGGGATTAGAACATTTGAGTTTGTGGCAAGATCCTTTCTCCATAAAACTTCAGTATACTTTTTTTGAAAGTTTTATAAGTTTCTATTGCACAGAAACTCAAATTTTTTAATCCTTTTATGTTTCCATTTTAAACTATAAATTTTGGTAGATCCGTTAGTAGTAGTTTGAAATATCAGGGAATTATAATAACTATTTATAACACTCTTATTTTGGTTCGCTAAAGCTCGGGACAAAATTAATTCTAAGAAGGTTTGAACTTTCTCGAAAAAGAGAAAATTTATGTTCAAAAACTTTAGCACGTCGCGTCAAAATAATAGTGCTATGAGTCTATAGGTAATTTTGAAACGTTTGTGTATTTGTCTTATTTTAATGGCTATAGAAATAAGCTTTAAAACAAAGCAGAAGTCAAGATATAAAGTTGATTTCAATTTTATTTTCATTTCAAGTGAAAACAAATATTTGGAAATATCCTACATTAGTTGGATACAATCCGGGAACCAATCAAAACTTTATAGCACACCTGCTATAATGTATAGCTAATTTAACTTTATAGCACGTTTATTATAAAATTCATGATGAAGTGAGTAAGAATGATAAAGTGCACAATAGTTTCATATAGAACTATTGGATTTATCATAAGAGCTTAAGGAGAGAAATCAGTTTCTGACTAATGATGAAAAGTAAGACAGACAATTATAAAGAAAGTAGACAGATAGATAGAACGACGACAGATAGATAGCTTAAGACAGACAGATAGATAGACATAAAGAGATTATAAATGAAATGTTATAATCACCAAACCTCTCTCAGTTTGGTCGATCTTCTTAAAACGATGTAGAGGTTTGGAAGGGAAAACCAAGAAGAAGAACAAGGGAAGAAAAAATAAGTAAAGAGAAAAGAAGGAAAAATTAAATAAAGAGAAAAAAGGAAAAAAAGAAATAAAGAAGGATAAAATAAAGAGATAAGAAGGATAAAATAAAGAGATAAGAAGGAGAAAATAAAGAGATAAGAAGGATAAAATAAAGTGATAAAAAGGATAAAATAAAGAGATAAAAAGGATAAAATAAAGAGATAAAAAGGAGAAAATAAAGAGATAAGAAGGATAAAATAAAGAGATAAGAAGGATAAAATAAAGAGATAAGAAGGAGAAAATAAAGAGATAAGAAGGGAAAAAGTAAATAAAGAGATAAGAAGGAGAAAATAAAGAGATAAGAAGGGAAAAAGTAAATTAAGAGATAAGAAGGAGAAAATAAAGAGATAAGAGGAAGAAAATAAAGAGATAAGAAGGAGAAAATAAAGAGATAAGAAAGGAAAATGTAAATAAAGAGATAAGAAGGAGATAATAAAGAAATAAGAAGAAGAAAATAAAGAGATAAGAAGGAGAAAATAAAGAGATAAGAAGGGAAAAAGTAAATAAAGAGATAAGAAGGAGAAAATAAAGAGATAAGAAGGAGAAAATAAAGAGATAAGAAGGGAAAATGTAAATAAAGAGATAAGAAGGAGAAAATAAAGAAATAAGAAGAAGAAAATAAAGAGATAAGAAGGAGAAAATAAAGAGATAAGAAGGGAAAAAGTAAATAAAGAAGGAGAAAAGAAGGGAAAGTAAGTCAAGAAGAAGAAAAAAAGGAAGAAAGAAGAACAAGAAGAAAGTAAGGAAAAAAGAAGGAAAAAGAAAATCAAGAAGAAAAAAGAAGGAAAAAAGAAAATTAAGTAGAAGAAAAGATGGGGATGTGGAGAAGAAAGAGGAAAACAAAATAAAAGATCGTATTGCATATTGAGAGACTGGTAAGTAAGTAAAGTAAAGTAAGAAAAAATTAAATAGAAAAATTACTAAAAAATAACACAAAGAAAGCGAAAGAGAAAAGAAAGAAGGGGAGATGAGTAGAGAAAAATTAAGAAGGAAAAAAATCAAATCAGAAAAATATAAGAAAAGGGAGAAAAGGGAAGATAAAAGAAAACAAGGAAAAATGGGGAGATATTGAATGTAGAAAAAAATGGAGAAAAGTATAGGAAAAAGGGAAAATTTTAAGAGAAATATTAAAGATTGAAACAGAAGATAAAGGAGAAAAGGAAAGATTTATGAAAAAAAGGTAGTAGGGGGAGGATAAATTAGAAAAGGTGGACAAGAGAAATATGAAGATTAAACGAAAAACAGGGGAGAAGGTGGAGAGGAGAGTAAAAGATAGAAAAATCAATGTTAAAATCTTCTCATTTCGATTTAATCGAACTCGTTAATCGATAAAGACTTGATTCATTCACTAATTTCAACAATAATACAAATCTAATCTCTGTAAGTTTAATAATTGTACAAAACTAAGTTTAATAATTGTACAAAACTAAATTTAATAATTGTTTAATAAGTCTATAATCAATTGTTGTACAAATCAAACATCAATAATTGTACAAAATAAATAACACTAATTGTACAAATCAAACATTAATAATTGTAAAAAACAAACAGTAATAATTTTGTACAAAATATTGATCAATAGTTAAACTAAACCACAATTAATAGTTTTACAAAGCCAAGAGCAATAGCTGTACAAAATCAAGATTAATTGTTGTACATAACAAACCTCAATAGTTTTACAAAGCCACGATCAATAGAATTGTTCACAAACAAGATCAAAAGTTGTACATAACCAGGATCAATAATTGTACACAACCAAGACCAATAATTGTACACAATCAAGATCAATGATTGTGCACAACCAAGATTAACAGTTGTACACAACCAAGATCAACAGGTGTACACAACCAAGATCAATAGTTATACACAACCAAGATCAATAATTGTACACAACCAAGATCAATAGTTGTACACAATCAAGATCAATAGTTTTACAGAACCAAGATCAATATTCGTACAAAACTAAGATTAACAAATGTACAAACCTTGATCAATAGCTGTACAAAACAAACATCAATACCTTGATCAATAGTTGTACAAAACAACAATTAATAGTTTTAAAAAGCCAAGATCAATAGCTGTTTAAAACCAAGATTAATAGCTGTACATAACCAAGCTTAAAAGTTGTAAAAAACCAAGATCAATAACCGTACAAAACCAAGATCAATAATTGTATAAAATATGATTTAATTGATGTAAATTCCTGTAATAACAATAAACTAAACTGAATTAGATGTAATTATTTTGTGTTTAATTATGAAGTTTAGAATAATTGAATATTAAACGTATTTGCCTAATAACTCAGAAATTAAACTGATTATGAAATACACTTTAGCATGCACTGTAATGAAGGTACATATTATGATTATTCTGTATTTGCATTTTTCACCCTTTACTCTATAACATACTGCATTCTATTCTTTATTACGTTTTGCATTCTATTCTGTTCTACATACTGAACTCTATCCCTTATTATATATTGCATTCTATTGTTTAGTACTTTCTGCATTCTATCCTTTATTATATATTTCATTCTATCCTTTATTATATAATGCATTCTATCCTTTTTTACCTACTGCATTCTATCCTTTATTATATATTGCATTCTATCCTTTATTATATATTGCATTCTATCCTTTATTATATTTTGCATTCTATCCTTTTTTACCTACTGCATTCTATCCTTTATTATATATTGCATTCTATCCTTTTTTACCTACTGCATTCTATCATTTGTTTATTATTGCATTCTATCCTTTATGTTTTATTATCATTCTATTCTTTTTAGCTACCATGCATTCTATCTATATTATTATATTATTATATATAACATTCTATAATTTTTTACCTACTACATTCTATCCTTTATTATATATTGCATTCTTTCTTTTTTTCCTACTGCATTCTATCTATATAATAAAACAAGACATTCATATCAGGGAATAAGAATAAAGGGAAGGGAAACGGCGCTGGTCTGGAATGAGAAAGCCAGTCGCACTGCTTTGCAGACGAATTCGTAATAACAGACGCACAGGTTGTTTACATATATCAGAACTTATTTTTACTCTTTAGATTCATGAGTTTGTTTACATATATCAGAACTTATTTACTCTTTAGCTTCATGAGTTTGTTTACATATATCAGAACTTATTTACTCTTTAGATTTATGAGTTTGTTTACATATATCAGAACTTATTTACTCTTTAGATTTATGAGTTTGACTAATTGAAATGAGCATTCATTTTGAATTTTTTTTAAATGTTCTAGAAGTGAACTTTTATTGAGGTTTAAATAAGATACTTGTATATGTGTATAATCCCAAATTAAAATGTTAAAAATTATTCTTTTTGGTATCTTTTGCTAAAGTAAATATTTTTAACTATTTAAAAGAAAATATAACCAACATCTAAAGTTTTTTTTAAGCCTGTAAAAGACAAAAACATACGCATTTTTTGTGGTATACTAAGTTCTTATAACATCATTTTTTGAATAATCATCTCTGAACCCCGAAAATGGAACCTAGGATTGACAGGGATTTTCTTAAATATTTCCGAATCAGGCCATTTCTGCATTATAAGCAGAGAATTGCACCTTCACCCCTCCCCTACCCATTTCTTTTCTCTACCTTGTCCTTGTTATGTCGGATACTTGAACTCTTTCATTATGATTAAACAATTGCTCTCCTATATAGGATACATGAGCTACATACATGGGTACCCTAAAAAGACGACTGTACGGAAATTATACTGACTATTTCCTTCAATAAATTCTTGATCCCCTGCAACCGTAAACTTGTTTCTTGCTTATCCAAATCATTGAATAATCCATTAAAAACTATATTAAAGGTAAAAGACTTAATTTAACATTCGGATCGTCATATTTTCGAGTCGTCTTTACTCTTTTCAGTCTTATCCATTGTGGAAAACCCTGTATATACACCATGTAACAAGGTTACCCTCAAAGGATAAGAAATTAATGACGACCTGAAACTCTTAAAAAAGAACTATTTGAAGGTTAGTTAAGGTTTCTGTCTTATTATTGTATACTAGTAAATTATTTGGCAAGTTTACATAACGCCTACAACCAGGAACGTGATGCATTTTGAACAGTCGTCTCTGAAGTCTTACCCTGTAGTACTAGGCTTTAACCCTGCAAAGGCGTCAAACGCCCCCCCCCCCCCGGTCCGTGTAAAAACTTTTTTGTGACTAAAGCTACAGATCTAAAAACTATATTTTTTTAAAAGCTCATGAAAAATGGATGTAGAAAAATGCGCCACATCTTGATATTTGTTTTTAAAAAAAATTTTTAACATTTTTTAACACTTCTTTTCAACCCCTCAATGAGCTGGTCTTGAAAAATTGGGCTATTAATATGCATTTCAGCCCTATAACTATACTCCACGGCTTTTTTATAGGAGGGGGGGCGTGGGATTCCCCCTAACTAATAAATTTCAATTTTACATTCGATCGTTTGTTCATCGCATATTTTAGAAATTTAAAATTAATGTTTTTTTAAATAACATCATTAAAATGATATACAGGGTTACCCACAAAGAATGAGACTTCAGAGACGATTGTACGCAATGTTTGTTGTCCGTTTTATTGCATTTAGGGTTCCTTGTAGGCCAAAATTGGTTTATTTATTATTTAGTAAACCATCAAGAAACTCAATTAAATGCAAAAATATCAGACTTACAGTCGTCATATCTTGGGTAGTCTTTAGAGTCTCGTTCTTTGTGGGTAACCCTGTATTATAATATGAATTCAAAATGGGGCCTGACTGGTTTAATCATTTTGACATATCACGGATATAAACAAATAATACCAACTTGAACAATAAATGTATTGACATAAAGTGTATTTTAATCCTAAAATGTGTTAATATAAAGTGTATGCTAAGCACAAAAATGTTTTGATGTAAATTGCATTTTAAGTCCGTATGTTGACGGAAAAAATAAATCCAAATTTCAAATTTGGCACAAATGCATTTACCGTTTTTGGGATATTTGAGAAGGAAAAAGTATAAAAATAGTATGGCAGTACGTAGGAGGGCGAAATTAACGTAAAAATCATATTTCAATCAAATCAGATTCATAAATAAATTTTTACTTACCAACTGAATAGAGGCAGGGATGAAAAGTAGAAGGATTAGAACGGGGAAATAAAGTTTTAAAACTAATCTCGACATTGTTCATGATACACCATTAACCTTACTCATATCTTCTCTAAAACAAACTTTTTTCTCGATCTTTCATAATTCAATTTTTATGTAAAATTTAGCATGCAAGGTTTGACAGGATGATAATTAAAATAAATATATATTTTTACAATGATTTCCTGAATTACGAGCCTAGGGAGCCAAGTCCTTCTCCATCTTTCACAATTTGAAACTAAACTCCCGTCATGACCTAATCCTCACCAAATATACCTCCGCTATCCCCCAAAATATAATTCAACATAAATAGACATTATTTGCAATATTTGCCATACCACAGAATAAATATTAAAATAATTCAGAAACAAATATATCAAGATGTTCTTTAAAATTATTTATACAAAATGATTTTTGAAGATGTTTAAGATAGAACTATTTTCTCTTGGCGTAGGAAATATGGGCTGAAGTGTTTGCGAGAAATCTACGAACCCGGGGTTCGCGTGTTTCCGCCCGGTTCTTGAAAAACTAGCGGAGTCCTAGGCAAACTTGAGCAGTTTAGATCTGTAAAGCAGTGTGGAATGGAGTGATATGATTCCCTTGGGTTGGGGTCACAAATATGGCAGGTTTTTAACCCCCCTGGTTGATTTTAACTCCAGTGCTGGGAGAATCAGAACTTTTTAATTCAAGTGAACGAAGATGTTTTTTTCATCTTCAACCCTGAGGCTGGGAGCCCAACAGAAACCGAGAAGGTAAAATTTATAGTTATTTTTTTTCTAACACATTCATTAGATTTAAAAGAAAAAGTAGTTTTAAAATCTAAACTTAAAGGAGACTCCCCACGTAATTTCATATTCAATATGAACACCATTAAGGGAAAGAAATTGAGTCTTTATAACATACTTTAATTTTCAATTTCCTTTGCAACCCACAAATGTCAAACTATGAATTCTGACAGATCAAATAATTTAAGTTTGAAATATCATGGTTTAGACTATCAGATTGGAAAACTTTTAGTTTGTGACAAAGACTTTCTTTGCCGAAAAGAAAATTGCTTTTGAAACAATTAAAAAAGCTCATCAATAATCTTAAAAACATGATTTCTACGTTTAAATTAAAAAAACTCATCAATAATCTTAAAACATGATTTCTACGTTTAAATTAAAAAAACCTCATCAATAATTTTAAAAACATGATTTCTACGTTTAAATTAAAAAAAACTCATCAATAATCTTAAAAACATGATTTCTACGTTTAAATTCTACGAAGTCGCTTAGACTATCTCAGTAGAGTTCTATGGAACGTATTTTCATGTGACCCATGCATCATATAAAGAGGTCCTTCAAACCTTCGATCGTCTAAATAAAAGTGATGTAGATATTCTTGTTTTTCTATCTTAAAATTAATAATTTCCATTTGTGATTTTTCTGTAAGATAAAAATGAATTTTACGGCAGTTTTCAGAATTTAAAAATCTAAAAATTAGAAAAACGAAATCTTTCTTATTTCTCTTCAGGCAAAGGTTAATATCAGATATCGGAAATGTGAATTTATCCCCCATAATTTTGCCCTAAGAGTTGTGATAGGAATTTCCCATAGTCCAACTTTATAAGGCTCATTAGAAAAAATTAGACATCTAACTTTAATAGTTATAGTGTGCTTGGGAGGTTAAAAAAGTTGAAAAGTACGTCGGAAAAAATGTTGAAAAAATATAATTATTGTTTTTGACAAATAATAACATGTGACACTTATATATAATTCATTTTTCAAGGGCTCTTAAAATGAATATATTTTAGATCTGTAACTTAAATAATTAAAAAGTTATGGACTATTTTTGAGTGCTCTAGTTTTAGGTTATTTAATGAGTAAAAACAAAAGCCCCCCCCCCTTCATGTAGGGTTAAATAAAGGGTCAATAGAAATTACTAATTCACTCCAAACTTAAAGGTTAACGAAAACTATTCGCTGTTTTCGACTGTTCCAGAAAGAGTGAATGTATAATGTGTTTATTGAAAATCTATCAGAGTACATGTAAACTACCTACAAAACTAGTATACATTGTGTTCCCCCCCCCTCTCCCTTCTGTATATTAAACATGATAACCTAGTTTTATATATTTAGACCTAGACCTTATATTCATACTTTCAACCCTTCCTTGCAATTTCTGTCATTTATAGTTACAATCAAACTGTGGAACAGGAAGACAACTTTAGACCAAAATTATAAAACATAAAAAAACATCAATTGTGCAGTGCACACAGACCCATTTACTGATTAAGTTTATTTTAAAACTATAAACTGAAAAACCTGTTATCTTTAAAACAACAAATAAAATTGTTTAAATGCCATCTTCCTATTCAACAGTTTAATGGGTCTCACTGTATGCTTTCATAATATTTCTTTAAACTTTCTACAGCCCTTTACCCTTAGATTGACCAACATGCATATAATTTTTGTAGCCATGAATATGATGATTTAAAATTGAATGCAGTGCATGTTTGAGTTTAAACTGCGGAAAAATGCCAAAGTTTTTTCTACATTGAATTTATTCGAAAAGGTTTAAAGCTGAATAAATATGATTTTTAATGATTTAAGAATATTTTTATCATATTCCTGTTTAGTTTATATATATATATATATATATATCTTTGTTATTTATATTGAATTACAAGGAATGAACTATATAATCTCACCAGAAGAAGATGGTTTATCTGGCGTACCTGTCCCGTTTTAGCCGTCTATAGACTATGTATACTGTACAACTTGCCCTAGCTTCCTGTATGCCAGTACGGTACTTCAAATGAACCGGAGTTTAAAGAGCATGGTACTATTTCATGTTAAGTATGTCCGAATCTTTTGTACCTTCATTTTTGTGGCTCCAGCGCCTCAGCTTTCATACGGCTTCTGAACAGGCTAACCTTGGACGCTGAATACCTATAGTGAGAACCAGAAAACTGTGGAATAAGAAGACGACATTAGAGCAATACTTAAGTGTATTTGATGATGTTACTGTAAGCAAATTGTTTTAGTGGTGACTTATTCACTTATTCCGTAAAATGAATCTGTTTACACTGAAATATTGCGGTGGCGCGTGTTTATTGGACTTTTTAAAGAAAACTTAAGTCTAAAAGTCGTCTTCCTGAACCGAAGTTTTCTGATTCTCACTGTATATCGTTTCTGTCGATTATCAATAGAATTAAACTTATTTCATTCAGTTTTCAAAGTTTTTTTCCCCGCACGGGCAGCCGTAGTACATTTGAATTTCCTAGCCGGGTCAACCTTTCCCGTCCCAGTTTGTACTGTACCTTGCTCTATGGACAGGACTAGCCAGTGCAACAAGGTTGACGCGGTCAGACTTTGTGCTTCATAAAGGATGAATTTACGCGTGGACACTGGACATGCGCTGATTTTAATGCGGCTAGAGCAATGCCTGTGTTTTTTTTTACCGAAGATGCTTGCTTTTAAATTATGCCTTCGTAGTATCTACGAATATTATCATTAGTATTTTTTCTATTGATTTTTAAGAATTTAAGAAACTTAAAAAAAAACCTGGTTTTAAGTGAGTGTTCGCGAAAAAACTTGACAAAAATTGAATAGTTTTAGTTTTATTTGATGTATTTGTGTACTTTGAAAAACAAATTCAATATTCGCAAACACTCCTTTTTGATTTTAACAAAGATGTTAAATAAACTCGTTATTAACTAAATGAATGTGAGAACTCATATCAAGTAGATTTTAAATTTTTTAATTGCTTTTTCATTTGACAGAATAAGTTAATCTGCAGTCGATAAAACCTTTAATCCAAATAGAGTTTGTCTGATAAAATTGACAAATTATTAGGTTGAATTGGAAACCAATTCCAATTCTATAAATTTCGACCTGAGAACTTAATAAATACATTTTTCCAAAGTCTAAACGCTGAATAAGTTATAATGAAAACTTTATAAAACTCTATAACGAAGCATAAACATTAATCAAAAGTAAAAAAAAACTTTTTTAATTCATACATCTAAATGACAAAATATATTATCATTATTATTGTTTATGTTAATCAATCTCTATACGTAGAAACTTCTTGTAATAGGCCTGTAAATAGAACTGTAATTACTTTATTCAGAAGTTCAAATTTAGATTCATGAATTTCCAACAATGAAAACAGAATAATGTGCAGAGAGATTCAGAAATATTTGATAAAAAGTAGTTTTACAGATTTTAGTCTCACAGATTTCCCAGATAGAAAATAAGAATGCCTTATTTTAATTTATCTATATTTTTCCCAGGGGCTTGCTTTTACTGGGGGGGGGGGATGAGCCTCCCCTTGTAAAAGGGAAAACGATGTTTTCTAGGGGGGGTTTAAGCTCCCAACAGGAGCATCGCACCTTCCCCATCCGTGGCCAACCCCTGGCATTGAAAAAAGTAAGCCCATCGTACTCAATAACTTAGAATTAATTTTGCAGGTAGAGCAGGAATGATTTGAGAATTTGTTCTGTGAGATGTAATTAGGATCAAATGCCACCCACGCCACGTTCTATCTTTTAAATCGGGGGTTTTCTTATTTTTCATTGAACTGGATCAATTTTTGTATGGCTTCCCATGGATGATTTTTGATATTTCAATTAAAAAAATATATAATAATAATAATAATAATAACATTATTCCTGAAAGTTAGAAAAAAATAGTTTTATGAAAAACATCTTCAAGACAAATATATATTTAGAGTTAGATTAATTAAACATAATAAATGCAAGGTAACCTATCAATAATTTTACTTAGATCTTACAAAATTGGGATCTTAGTCAGAAAAGTTAATAAGCATTTAACACATTGATCTTGATCCGTGATCTTGGAGAATAATAATTCTTATATTGGAGAATATAATTGTAATCTTGAAGAAGATAATTAATTGCGATCTTTGATAATGTAATTGTGAACTTAAAGAAGATAATTGTGTCTTTGAGATATAATTCTGATTTTAGAAAATATAATTGTGATTTTAGAGAATATAATTGTGAACTTTAAGAATATAGTTGTGATCTAATAAAATATAATTGTGGCTATGGAAATCTGATTTATTAAGAATAAAATTCAGATCATATTGAATTTTACAGTAAATTTTAAAGAGTATTTTCTTAGATTTTAAAATTTGAATGATTTATAATATTTTTTAATTTCAGAAACCTTGGTTGGATTCTCCTGGTTATCCTAAGTACATCACACTCGGTAAATAATAATTCTGTATTTTTACATATACAGGGTTACCCCCATACAGATGAGTCTATAATCTATTTATCCCAAGGATATATTAAAGGAACTGTAACCGCAATTTCAATTGACTCTAGCAGCAAAGATGACAATGCCCGATTTACAACGGCACTCTTAAAAGCTTTGTATCATCAAGGTATAAAATAGATATTCATGTTTTTGTATCTTAAGACTGTTTATTTTCATTTGCGTTTTCTCTGCGAAAGTGACTTGCGCATTTCTTGCTTGTAAGAAGCAACGGAGAAACCCACTAATATAAACACTGTTTAAGTCAGAAAAACGACGTTATCCTCCATATTTTTTGATCAAATTAAGGTTTTAAGAATACCGTTATAAATCAGGAATTGACATCTTTGCATGGAGCCGGATAGTCACTTATAAATACGCTTACAGTCCCTTTAAGTATTCTGCCTTAAATATAGTATTTTAATGGGTTATTAAATGATTTGGGAAAGAAAGAAACAAGTTTAAAATTACAGGGAATTATGAATATAAAGAAACAGACAGATAGATTCCGTACAGTCGTCTCTGAAGTCTCATCCTTTGTAGGTAACCCTGTGGATAATATCAGATAATACTGAATATTTGAAAATAGACTTAATCCTCCAACTTTTCAAAATGAGGAATTCAACAAGGAGGTGATTCTTATAATCGTTCAAAAATGTTCTTAAAGGGGAGAGTGGTCGATTATTTCTAATTGTATATTTCTGAACAGAAAATATTTAATGAACATGTTTTGGTTGTTTTAAAAAAAGATAAGTATTCAATCGTTTAGAAAAAATCAATATTATTTAATTTAGAATTGGACGCCATGTGTAATCATATTGGACATTCTAATATCCGGAAAATATTTATAAATCGACTAAAATTAAAAGATTATCAGAAATCAGAACTTTTGAGTTATAAATCTGGGGATCACGCTTTGATCTGCATCTTATGCAGACCTACCGATTAATTTTATTCCTCTTTGATATCCATTGATACAATAATACCCTGTAGAGATTTAAATTTGATTGAGGGATCAAGCCTTGATCCTTAAATCAAAAGTATCCAAACTGGATATTGAAATAAAGTGTTTAAAATTAACATTACTCCAGACAGAAGTTCCGACCTAAGGTTTTCTGGCAAAATGGCGACTTTTCTCATCTATTCTAAACATAGAGAATAGAATATATATTAGAGGGGAATTTACTAGAAAAAAGTGTAAAACGGCCATTTTGTTATACTGTTTCCATACTGCAGGTATACTTAACATATTTATGCTATATAACCTTTTGGGCCCTGGAATATCATTTATAGAAAATCTCAAATTAATATGAACCAAATTATGAAATAGGCTGGTTTCATAATTGACCAATGATCATTTCACATAGACTCGATATGCCTTCCACTTAATAAACGATGATTTTCCGTTATAACCATAAATCAATGATGTTTTTTATTCACCTAATTCATTATAAAGCTTATTTAACAGCTTTAAAAAATTCGAAATTGAAATGGATAGTCTAGGGAACATACTGTACTAATGTACTCTACTGCATATAATTTGTGAACATTTACATGATTTGTACACTTTGAACTCCCTTTCTAATATATATTCTATTCTCTTTGGTTCTTAATTGAGGAATTACGTGTTTTGTCGTGAACACACTCTTTATTAAGATATTTGCAATTCACGAGAACATTTTTAGTCCATTGTGAACCAGTGAATATAAGAACTAATTATCTCCTTCAAAACTCCGGGAAATTTTATATTATCTTTGAAAATAACGACGGAGGCTAAAGAGAATAAAGAATTAATTGAAATATAAACGTCTATAGCGTTCGGAATGTCACAAATCTTAACCAAGATATTCCTCTGAATGCAACGTGATTGTTTTGATCTTTTATGATCCCCTGGCTCCCCTGGCTCCCCTGGCTCCCTTGGCTCCCCTGGCTCCCCTGGCTCCCCTGGCTCCCCTGGCTCCC